GGAGCTTGTCTTCAGGCAGTTCGCGGTGAGCATTAGCACTTTAAGGTTAGGTACTGCATTAGCCGAGAGCATTAGCACTTTACTGCAAAAACAACGTATGAGACAGCGTTGAACTGACTTAGAATCATCAGTGAATGAATGTTAAAAATTGCAGGTACAAGATACTGCTTCCAGTATCTCTTCCAACCGAACACCATAGCTTTGTTAGCACGGCTAGGTGAACGGCCGCCGTGCCCCCTGCGTCTGTACAAGGTGGAAAAAGCGGTCAGAAATAGATAGATAGATAGATAGATAGATAGATTAGATAGGTTAGTTCCCTTCGAAACAGGGGTTGACCCACACACAGACACAACGAGTTCCTGCGGCTAAAATGTACAATGTACATGTTAGACGCCATGCGTTGGATGCTGGCTAGATGTTGTGGCATTGGACAGACCATTGCTACCACATGTGTTGCTTAATGACGTTGGACTTCAGCAAATGGTGGTTTGGAGCGTGCGAGCTTTAGTAAAATGCTCAAAACACTTGAGCATCAGATGTCGGGAATCGCTGTTTGGGACGCTTGCACTTCTGACTACGTTCCAAGCTCGCACCTCTGAAGAGCAATTGGAGCATGCGTGAGGAACTCATATTTACAACAGTACTTTGATACGAAGACACATTTAAACAACAATCAAAAGCGTTTTGAGGAGCGCTACTTATGAGTATTAAGAGTTTGACAAGGCGTCCGAGGCTTCGAGGTTCACAAAGTGCTGCACCTGCCACGAAATCAGCGCACTGAGGTTCACAAAGTGCTTTGCCTGCCACGTCCAGATACCAAAACGCAGCTTTCGCGCGAGATGTCCTCCGATTTCTGATAGCCAGCCACATGTAGAAAAGTCGCGATTCACTGCACCTGTCACGAAATTGGAGCATGTCGAAGATCTCCACTTGCACTTCAAAGTAAAGCCGCTCCGATCCCTTGCACCTGTCACAAAAAGTCGACTTTGGACCACCAACACGAGGTTTCCCTTGCGCCGGCCAGGAAAAGTGACCACCATGCCCGAAAATGCGCACGGCGCCACTACGAGAGCGCAGTCTTCCTCGAAGAAGCGTAAACGATCCTGCGTCCTACCTAGAAGCTAACTATATAGTTGACCTTCCTGAACTAAGTAGGCGCCTACTGTATTGAAGAAGCAGGGCCACGGGCCAAAACAAACAACACATGGGTTGCAGATATAGTTTTTACTCCAACGATTGTCGCCTAGGATCGGTTAGCTGCTTTGGAGTGTTTTGAGCAAGCGCCTTCTTCCCACAGGCGCCCGAGTTTGAAGTGGCATCAACTGGGTTTGTACCTCAGAGCTTGTGGGTTCTAGCAGGTTGCCCCTAGGACGTTGATAATTTCATGGCAATGGATCCAAACCCAATGATTGAGGAAATCTTTCAGTTTGAGACCTGCTATCTTTAACGAATGACGCGTTTTGTTCACTACCATGATTCCGAAAGAGCGCATCTAAGGAGCTATCCCCAAAGGATGTCATCTGAAGCTGGTGGCCAAGTGGGAATGGTGCTTGAGATGGAAAGTGGCAGCTGACACACCAAGCCGCTATTCTTTTGCCGTCCTGCTCCTACAACTATGTCAAGCTGCTATATACTGTGTATATATATATATGACCATGATCCTTTCATTAATATTCTTTTACAGCACACAGTTTAGATAGACATGAATGTTTAAATACAGAATACTAGTTAATACGTATTGTGTGACAACAAGAATGTATTGAGCCAACACCTCGGGCCAAGTCAAGGCTCTGCAGTCACCAGGCCGGAAAGACATTAGAAGCGATAACGAAGGGGTTAAGTTGTTGTGATCTAGATTTCTGCACTTAGGACAAAACAAAACTACCATGATCTGGGTCTCAACTGCCCCTTATAGGCGGTTACATACAGTACACCCGCTAAGAAGAAGGCCTCGAGAGGCCTTGGTCCTCCTTAATAATTGGGGTATCTCAAAGTCTTTTACTCCAGTCGTGAACACGCAGCTGAGTTCCGACAACACTGACTGAGTCTAAATGAGTTACACAATTCTTGAATCGCAGAGTCTAATTGAGTTTACTGTGAAAGGAGCAGTCGTAAAGACTCTCCTTCAAGACGGAGTCTACTTCCAAGCCTTCAGGAGGCCAGTCTGAAAGCCCTTCTCCCATGCGGCGCGAGCGTGAGCGCTGATGCCTCAGCCTGTTTGTCCGCACACCGCACACCATAACACCTAGTTAGTCAGGTTCCCTTTTGTAAGTTAGTTGATTCACTTGATCTTATACTTTTATTTTGAAGTTGGTTGAGCTCAATGAGTACACTCAACGCAAAGGACATCAAAGCAACTATTTGGCCTGCTTGGCAGCGCCAGCGGGAAGCTGGGATTCATCGTCCTGTCACTTCCAGGCATGGAATCAAGACGGCGTCTTGAACAGATGCATCAGAGCCTGCGCACGTCCGGCTCTGAGTTTTCTCTTTTTCTTTCCATGCTTTGAGTATGACATGTTAGGCTGCCTGTTGTAACATTTTCAAGTTTCAAGCAATTTCTCCGGATTCCTGTCCCCATGCAGCTCGACAAGTTTTATTTCTGCCTTGTTTCATTCCCCGGATTCTATGCTTTTATCGCTGCCAAGGCCAAAGCAGTCTGCAAAGCCAACAAACGATAAACTGTTGTGGACGTGCTTTAGCTGAGATGCAGCTCACTGCTTTGTGTCAGAAAGCGCTCGTCAATTTTTACATTTTGTGCCGTTTCCTTGTTATGCAAGTGACGCTGAGGTTTCAAGGACATGCTCATGCAACGCGTAGCCTTGCAAAGGCATGGCGGCATGGAGACATTTCATAGATGTTAACAATTTCCATAGAATTGTAGGATTCTAATCTCTCTCTCTCGACATATATTTTCAATGCAGAATGCATTAAGAGACAGGTAGTGTGCAGTAAGAATAGGAGGGAGGGAGGGAAGAAATAAACCCTCTGGAGCTTGAAGGCTCAAAGACCTTCAAGAAAGGGATCTATAAAGGTATCTTTTTTGGGTAGGGTCGGACGGTGTTCATGATTGCGCGCGCCGCTTTTTCATGCTCCTGCTGACGGTTGACGAAGCTCGGGGAGTGAACATTATCCCAGACCTCCTGCGGACGTTGCGCGTGGATGATGATGACGATGACGATGATGATGATGATGACGATGATGACGATGATGACGAAGAAGAAGAAGAAGAAGAAGAAGATGATGATGATGATGATGTGTGGACAGCTTTTTGTAGTGTGGCCGGCGTGGTGTGTCCTCGAGTTCAGGAACCAAGGAAAATGTCCTCAAGCTCGCAAATGTCCTGGAATAGACGGATGACTCTGAGACGAAGATGCTGGACCATGTCAAGTTGCGTGAATGGGCTCAGAGGTATATTGCAGTGATGGGTGCGCCTTCCCAAGATGAAGAAGAAGCTACTGACGTCCAGTCGGCATTGCGCCACAGGGTCTATGACCTAAAGCAAACGCCCTATGTGGACTTCGGTGTCTGGCTACCCTTTGGTAGACGGGTCCAAAAGAACCAAAAGTTTCGAGCTTTCATGCTAGTGGGAGACGGACCGTTCGTCATGAAGGAGCTCCCAGGTCCCAATGGTTGGCTTGTTGGAGAGTTTACAAAACAGCCTGCATCTCTTTGCAAATCACAACTCTGGCTTCACCACGGTTATACGAGAAGGTCGTTGAGAAGTTATATAATAATATAGTCCTTCAGTAGCCCAACGCTTGGGGACTCATCGCTCAAGCCGACCGCAGGGCAAGGGCGGAGAAGCTGAGAAGACGAGACGTGGCATAGTTTTGGACATGGCAGCTGGAGGCGTGGCGCCAAGAGAGTATTCAGAGGGCGCTCCATGGACGGCATGTTTTAGGTTGGTCGCGCTGGAGGAAAGATTCTGGAATGAGCAGGTGAGACATCCGGTGGCAGCATGGTTAGCGAGCGGGGGTCATGGATCTCCGAAGCCACTAGCGGAAGCATTCGCGGTGGCGCATCTCCCTGGACTAGCTGCAGACGGAGGGGACATGGATGAGCGCTGTGACAGAAGGAGGCAAGCGAATAGAGATAAGAGATTAGCCAAACGAAAACGTTGGGCTGCAGGCTGCAGAGAGAGAAGAGCTTGCATCCTTCAGGAACACAAGTCCAAGAAAGACTTCAACCACAAGGGCAAAGGCAAAGGCCGAGACCAACTGCTCTGGTGGGCAAAGGGTGTTGGACCTTGTGCGGGACTTGAGGAGAACTCGCAAATGCGTGTTGTGCTTTTCAGCAGCGAATGCAAACGCGGACTGACCAAAGAAAGCGGCATCGCCCTCGTGAGATCCTGGAGGGAAGACGAGGGGAGAAATGGTGCTGCTTTCCCTTCTTGCGGAGTTGCCTGCAAGAGGGTAGGGGTCGGTAGCCTCAGTGGCTCGAAAGGGCGACCCTTCGGGCGACATGACTCCAAGTTGGCGAGCAAGCAGCGTGAGGCAAACGTAAGTATAGTATGGCTGCCAGCGAGAATCTTGGGGCCCCTCCTGAACTCAAGACTTCAAGGAGTACCAGGAGGGCAGACCATTTCGTTTCCTTCATTTGTTTAGCGGAGAGACGGACGTGCTGGGGGAAGCCATTCGCAGGGCAGCGCGTAAAGAAGGGCTGATGGATGGCCGTTCGACGAAGGTGATGAGGATGTGAAGGTGGCGGCGTGAAGAAATCATGGTCGCCTGAAATAAAAGAGCAAATGAAGTGATATATTTATTAGCTGAAAAGGTCTTGCTGCGCTTCCTGAAGTTTTTCCCGCAATGGAGGGTGGGAGGGTTTAGCGTAAACGTAACACGACATGTCCATATATATTTACCAGGCTATCTGCAGCCGCCGACGCCGAGGGAAGTGTATGTGGCAGGGATGGTCCGTGCCAGTGCCCGTGTTTTTTTCCTAGATTATGTAACGTTTTCCGCTGGAGTTGTGGGATTTTGAAAGGTTTTTTGTAAGATTTACTGATGCCCTTTTAGAGGGTTTGTATGGGATTTTCTATGGTTGTTCCTCGAATCTTCCAGTTTTATGGCTAAGGTTTGTCAGTGCGTTTGCGATGCAAGGGTAAGCCCTCTTCCACGCCAAATACCAAAGTAAGCAGAAGAGAGCACGGCAAATGGGTTAGCCTTTTTCTTTGAAAAATTGAGAACCCAAAAAACAACACGGAGCCCACTACCTAGAAAAAACAAATAAATCCTAGAAAAACCCTCGCAAAAGGCGTGAAAGGCATGACTAAATCTTGCAAAAATATTGAAAATTCTAGAAACCCAGCGGAAAACGTTAGAAAATCTAGGAAAAATAAAGGCACTGGCAGGGACCAGGCCGCGACCAGCCCGGGATTCGAGCCCGAGGACCGTGCTTATTCTCCCGCGCGGGTGGAGAGGGTGCCCCTGCCGGCCCGGGATTCGAACCCAGGACCGCGCTCCAATCCCCGAACCAATACATTTGGAGAAATCTTGGGCGAATCTTGGACAAATCTTGGCTCTGGAGGGGTAGGGGAGGTAGAGCCTGAATCACAGCCTTAGCCTTATACCCTTACCTTTACCCTTAGCCTTAGCCTTATCATAGCCTTAGCCTTAATCAACAGTCACGCCTCATCCCACGAGTGGGGTCGGCGGATTTATTAATCAAAGGAGTTTAGTGTGCAAAACTTCCGTGTTACGGACTTTCAACAGGTGTAGCTCAGTTAGCTCTAGTTCCAGTCAGCTGTCTAGCTCCAAGTAGCTCTATCTAGTCAGCTTTAGCTTCAGTCAGCTCTAGCTTTAGTTAGCTCTAACTCCAGTTAGCTCTAGCTGTGGTTCGCTTAGCTCTAGTCAGCTACTTTAGCTCCAGTCAGCTCTAGCTTTAGTTAGCGCTAACTCCAGTTAGCTCTGCTCTGGTTCGCGTTAGCTCCAGCTCTAGCTCCACTCTTCAACAAGCATTTTGGAAGGAAGTCTCGTACAAAATACGTTTTCGAGAGATAGCGGACGCACGAAATGTTGTGTTTTTCAATGCAAAGGGTGGCTCCGAACCTGGCAAGTCAAGCTCTGCGGAACGACGGTTGTGGAACGGCCTCGCGTAATGCTCGGATCATGTTCGAATCGTCCCT